TGGATGAAGCGGTGTCCTCATTTAGCAGCGTGAAAAATGAAAGGAATCTTCGGTCGATAAATCGGTTGATTGACATTTGGAGCGTCGATGTATTTAGAAAACGAGTTCAAAGATGTTAATCAAACATTCAGTGAAATAAGAATTTAAAGCCCGCAGCTCTACAAAAATGTGCCGACGTTCAAAATTTTCGAAATACTTCTGCAGAGCTCTTGCATCTTTAAACGCGGCTGACGTTCGCGGCTACGAACGGGTCATTCTATCTTAATCTCCCTTACCTACGTGATGTAGGACTTTCAGCGCCTATTTTTGCACCCATTTCATTCGTTACAGACTAAAGAAATCCGAAGTATTCATTGAAAATGCAGACTGGATAGAATGTGTCAATCATGTGTCACGCGTCAATGAAGATACTCGGGAGCCGACGTCGAAATTGGCGAGGTCGAACATTCGTTATGGTTCGGCTGCATTAACGTTATTAAACACCGTTAATATCAATAGTCCGCTCTCATACATCAGAAAACAATTCTCCTTGTAAATCAATTTTATTTTCCTGTTGTTGGAAGAATCTTTGTTTCACAGGAAAATCAATTGAAAGTCGAAACAGCCCCACAGAACATTTCCACAGTGTTGCAAAAATATATCTTCCACCCCGTCAGCTATTTTATCATCAGCTTTTTAGCAGTCGCATATATAACTTCATTGACACAACGGATTTATCCAGATATCAATTCCAATCCGCACCGGGGCACGCCATTTTCGGCGTACTCCCGTCTGGCACCGTTATTCTCGCCTCACGCCGTATTCGTAGAAGACCCCGTGTAAAATAAGCCGGAAAATGTAATTCGTTTTCGAGACTGTCTTCGTGAATTAGTCAGCCACACTCGTTCCATACGTCTCGGCCGTCTCGGACGTGGAGCCGCCGAGCACGTATGTGGAAGGAGGACACCGATCGATCGTTAAGTCGTGCCCGGCTGCCGGGGACACTTACAAATTAGCCAATCAAGTTCTAATCCCGCCGCGATTTACCCCAATCAGCCCGCATCCCGCCGCAAATACTTTAATCCGTCCATTAATCCTGCGAGATAAAAGTTTCCGAAGTTGTTACAGCCCCTTTGTCGTCGGCATCGGCAATGTATCGGATCGCGAGCGAATCGGTTCGACCTGATCGTACGATAAGGACCGTTACGATCGTTCCCCGTTCGATACCCGTATCCCCGTCGCTAAACACTCGCTCCTCGATTCCCGAGCACACCGACAGCCGCTCGAATCGAACTCCTCGTGAAAAATCTATTTGAAAATCCGCGACGAACGACGACTCCGTCTGGAATGAGAAACGGCCGGAAACGAAAGAAGTTGATCCAGCGGTTTTCCTCGACGGACCAGCTTCTTCCTCCGCCAGGGGTAACGCGTCTATCCGACGTAATCCCAGCTGTATTTAAGCGGGCGATGGGATTGAAATCCAAAAAAAAAGGAGAGAGGAGGAATGTTCCAAGGGGTTCGCGATGGCTAGGCGGAGAGGTGTGAGCGTCGCTTAAATTTATGCCCGACATCGCGGCGGTCGTCCCCGGGCAATTTTTTTTGTTTTTTTTGTTCAAT